ACCTCGGATGAATCGGGACGTGCCAATATGCGTCCTTGATGTCCAGGGACACCATCCAAGTGCCTGGCTCCAACAGAAGATGGACCTGGAACAGAGTAGTCATCCGAAAGGAGGGGCATTAAACCCATAGGTTCAGAGGGAACAAGTCCAGAATGATTCGGAGGTCATTGCAGTCCCGTTTCGGGACCGGAAAAAGGCGGAACCCCACCTGAGAGATGAGGTCATTTTTACCATGCCCAAGCAAACCCACTCCGAGATAACAAGACAGCGCAGGAGAAGAGGTGTGCCCCACCAGCCCCGAATCCCTCGGAGGAGGAGGAGCCACCCAACGCCACCGCAGGCCACACGAAACGACCCAAAAAGCCCACAAATCGTGGGACCAGGCACGAGCGAACAGAGCGAGTCTTCCACCATTGTCCCATCAATGGAACAAACAGCGAAAGGGCAGACACACCTTATGAGAACCTAAGCAACGCACCAGAGGATCCCCACGCCGACCAGAAGAAGACTGAACCGAAAGCTGCACCTGCCCCGAATCTGGCACCACTGGCCTACCATGATGGGAAGAGCCCCAAGCCCTGGCATGACCATTCCTGGAAAGGCCTTCACAAGGGCCCTTCCCCCTCCCCAGAGAACTAACAAGTCAGACATAAGACGGGAACTAGCCGAAGCCGCCTGCAGATACTGCACAACCACAGACTCTGCAAACAGCAGCGGACAAAAAGGCAAAGACAACCTAAGAGCCAGGGCCCAAGCGGATTCCAAGGAAGAAGCAAGCACCGCCTGCCAATAGGCGAGCCAAGAAGCAAAAAATCGTGAAACCACATCCCGCAGAAGCGGCGTGAACAGCTTCAACAATGCAGACGATGCATGCACCACCGAGGGCCCCGCACCAGACCCAAAAGCAGCCCCAAGCTCCTCCACATCCAACTCAAGCCAATCCGAGGACAGCTCGAGGAGGGAGAAGAAACACAGGCCCGAAGCCAGCAGGCCACGTCTACGCAAATCCTCTGCAACCAAGGCAGCCAAAAGGAAGGAACCTGCATATGAAGCTGCATCACACCAACGTTCCACAGAAGGGACAGGAAGAACAAACATGCACTGAGAAGCTCAAATTCGCCACCCAGGAAAATCTGCAACTCTGTCTGAGCTTCCTTCCACGTGCATTCCACTCAAGTGCGCAGGACTGACAGAATGTGTGCCACGCCTCCAACGAGAAGAAGGGGCAGTCTGCCAACCAGGATGAATCCTGAACTCATAACGAACCCAGCACGGACACGAAGATCTATTCACATACATACTTTGTTTCCAGGCGTTATATGACAAAGAGTGTTGGGAAGACGGGACACCACGAGCATAGCTCTCATCCTGTAACTACACTTAGGTAATTAGAAAGGAACGCGGATCCATCCAGAAAGCATAATCCAGGTTGTGCAGAAGGTAAGATGCAATAGCTTTCCATACCACATGAGTCGGGATGTGGGAAGCTGAAAACCTCCAGAAGGATGGGACCGAGGAACCCATAGGATCATGGAACCTCACCCGGGAAGGGGTAGACGCCAAATCCAATTCGTACGAGGAGGGAGCGAAAGAGAACCCCTCGCCTTGTAACACCAAGCCCCACTCCGAGGGTACTAAAACCCAGGCAGGGTCCAACAGGGCCCAAGGCCCCCAAGTCAACCCCTCACCCACTTCAGGAACCTCACCCTGAGGATCTGGGGCCGAGCTGTCCTACACCCCCCCCCCCCCCACGCCTCTCTGGTCAGACCCAGAAGCTCTGGCTGGAGGACTAGGCTCAAATGCCTCCGCCGTAACCCCGGAAGGGGACTCCCCGAGACCGCCCAAGTCTCAACACCAACTAAACCCCTGCCCTACCACTGAAACCGTCAGATGTTTCAGAGCCGGCAGCAAGGGGGAGGGGGGGGGGGGGGGGAACTGAATGAACCACTGAAGGAGAACAACAAGGAGGGACGGATGGAACCAAAGTTGAAGCGACACCCACCCCAAGTCCAGGCCCCTATAACCAAAACGGAGCAGCCTTGGGGCATCTGGGTAAAGCAACAAACCTATCACATTGCAACAACCTAAACCGCACGTGCAATGCCTCTGCTGCCTGCACCCTTAAATCATGTTCAGTACATGTAGGGTACATCATCATGTACCCTGCATAGGCTTGCTAAAGGAAGCCCAGGCGGGTACTGCAAACCAACGCCCAAAACTACCGAACAACCTTCTAAAGCTGAACCCCCAGGATGTGTCCACTCACAGGGGCCAAGCAGGGGGTACCACCAAGAACACAGAGATGTCTAGAGAAAAGACCCCCAAGTATAAAAAGAGGCAACCAACCAAAGGCAGACCCCCCCCCTACCAAGCAGGGAAACTAAAACAAAACAAAAACCCCGCAAGAGGACAAATTACCCAGGCAAAACAGAGCCTGCTGCTACAATAGGTGAAAACTAGCTGTGCAGTACCCTGCACCTCCAACCAGTGATAAAAATACATCCTACCCAGAGGCAAGCAAGGACAACAAAAACCCCAGCTGACTCCAAGGGTGGCCTAGTACCACGCAGTAAAAGACACAACGGAGTGTAACGGTGTCCCACCCCTATATTTCTCCTAACCCAGCTTAAAGAGTAATATCTCCATAACCTGAGTGTTTTCTAATATCCAGGGAACATTTTCATGTGTGACAGTGTGGAGCATTATCAGGTTGGCTGTAAAATTGCCATTTAAGTGTGATTTTGCAAGGGACTTACGCGCTTTTGGGGCACAAGATGGCGCCGAGCCATTCTGTTTCCCTCCAAAACGTTGTGACACCTCCCGGCATCTGATTGGCCAGGTGAGGTCACGTGCCAGAAGTAACCAATGACGAGAGCCTTTGGGAGGTGTGACGTCACGAGATGGAGGGCTTCCAGGGCGGCTGGTGCCTGGGCGGGCAGAGTAAGTCACGAGCTACCCTAGAGTGTGGACGCGCTCGAGTGAGCTCCAGATCTTGAGGCCAGAAAGCACCTACCAGTGGATTTAAGCATCACTTTAGTACTGCAGACATCCTGTGGAGTGCCAGGAAGCAAGGATTGGCCGGGATAGAGAGTCAAGCGCTCTATATTCAAGAGTTTGTAGCAGGGGCGAACGTGGGGCTGAAGACGTCTGGGACGACCGGCGGACCACGTTCTACATATCAAGCGAGTAGCGACGGCTGGGCCGAATCTAACTGGAAGTGAGGCAAGGGGAAGCTGTACTGAACTGCAAGTGTGTCTACAGGGCCAGAGAGAGGAGAAGGAGGATGACGGCACAGGTACCTGACTCCTGTACCCCAAGTGAGAGGAGGAGGACCGTACCTGTGGTCATAGGTAACGAGTAACGTGAGCCTCGTTACCTATGTATTTGAGTGAGCCTCCATTCTCTAGGGCTATTTTGAGTGAAACCATTTATATCACCTTGCACTGCACATGAGATTGCATCCTTAAATTAAGATAACTAATGAGACCACTGACGTGTTGCTGGGACACAAGTATAAACACCCAGCTCGTGACCTTAGAGCAGACCAGATATCAAAGAGAGAGGGTCCCAGTGTCAAGACGGGCAGGTTCAGGTGTGTCACAGGTAGACTTGAACCTCTCCACTCGCTAGAGGTATATATAAGGCCAGCCCTTAGTTGATTGGGGGTGCCCCAGAGTGAGCAGTGGCGCCTGGTACTAAGGGGCGAAGACCCGTGGGACGACTCCCAACCATAGGTAGGAAGGGGGTGAACCTTGACAGGAGGTAGGCCCCAAGGTGATTTATGGAAGGTGGCCCCAAGCCCCAAGGAAAGAGTACTGTAGAAAATTACTCCTGGCTCACACAACACCGGTAGAGACAGACCAAGCCAAAAGGCACAGGAACTGAAAACAAAAACTGGAGCCAGAGGCACTCGACTAGCCAGTATCACATCAGCCAAGAACTGCCGGTTGGATCGCCAGCGAGGGGTCTGGGGGGCTCCCCCTTTCCCTGCTCGGGGAGGGGAGGGGTCGGGTCGCGCAGATAGTGGTGTGGCAACGTTGATGATGTCATGCTCGTTTGCTAATTTTCGTTGGGGGAGTTCTGTCCACTAGTTCGGCTTTCGGTAGCAATATTTTTCCCCGAATAGGGTTTTGTTTTGGGGCACCTACCTTTCTGGGTGCCAGACCCGGTCGATGGAAGGCATAGAATGCTTCCAAACACACTAGGGTTTCTATAGGCCATTCCTCCTCGTGCCTTTCTGAGAGGGCCAGGTTCTGGTTCGTGGTCCCTGGTAGGCAAGAACTCCATGCACATTGACTGATGCCAGAAAGCTAATAGTGACATATCAGCCTGGATAGCTCCGGGGAGCAGATGGGGCTTCCCTCAGAAAAGCAGAAAAACAATGAAATTCTTTATAAAGAATTCAAGTGTGGTCGTCACTATGTGGGATACACTGCTAAACAAATGAGTGAGCCTCACCCTGTGCCCAGCACCGCGTGCTCACTTGATCCATACAAGTATCAAGATGTTGTATTCCAAGGCAAATGTCGCACACCAATTTAAATTTTACGATGAATTTGACGTCGTATACCAAAAAAATCATAATCTAGGGCAGTCATACACTAACATACCACTGTATACTATATATGCTTACAATTCTTTGCCAATAAAAAAAATACTGAATTTGTGTTAAAAAATAATGAAAAACAGCTTAAATTACATGAAATGGAAATGACCTGCATGGAGCGTATCTGTCTGTTCAAGCAGGTTTCTGAAGTACAGGTGCAGGTCTCACCTGGCATACACACTTTGCTCATAACTGGCAAATTTACCAAATTTGTTACAATAATTATGGATCATTCAAGTCATGTAAAAGAATCTATTAACAATGACTCCCTCTAAGTTGAGAATAAATTTTAGTGAATAAAGACTCCAATTCCATCTCACTTAACCAATTTTTTAAGGAAAATGTAGAAGTAATCAAAAGCATGAGACTTAATAAGACACAAATATTACATTACCTCTTCAATCCATGGCTTAACACTCTTCATGATATCTTCTTCAAGATATGTCTCAACCAGTGAGCCATCATTGAACGTCAAGTTTCCAACATGGATGGCCTTGCGTACAGTAGTTTTGTTGATGAACAGCGTCCAATAATCCATATCCTACAAATATAATTTTATTTATAAAATCTATAATATATATATATATATATATATATATATATATATATATATATATATATATATATATATATATATATATATATATATATATACTGGGAGAATACTGTTGAATTCCCTATGCTGAGGTGACTTCATATTTGCCAAACAGAAGGGTTTAGTCTTTGCTGTAGCCTGCTGACACAAATGGGAGAATGCTTGGGCAATGTTCCTGGACTGCAGTGAGGACTGCTTTCCTTTTGACCGAGTTGAAAGCGTTTTTAAAATCTAATTTTACTACTGCCTGGTCTTCAGTAAGAGAGCTAATAAAGGCTCGTGCAGCATGGGCCACGCTTTACAGCCTTGGGGGACTCCAAACCCCAGCTGGATGGGTTGCAGCATGGTGGCTGCTTCCATTCGTATACTTCTGACAGCAGCCCTTGCAACTAGGCAGCGAAGGGTATTACCAACGGCAATGGGTTTGATCCCCCCACCCCTACTTTTTCAGGGCACATAGGAATGCACCAAAGAAGAATGGTTTGATTTCATCAGGGATTAACCCGGCGAGGCAGTTGTTGACAAACATTGTGATTTCTGTCAGGAGCGCTTCTGCAGCTGGGCCAAGAACAGGGGTTCACAATTTCCTTCACATGTTGAGGTCTGACCCCTGCGTAGCCTCCTGAGGAGCCCGGGGGAAATGAAACAATAGCTTTATAAACCTCTGACTCCCGGAGGACGAGAGGTTCCTGGTTAGGGGGAACCCCTGACCTGTGGGGGAGGTCCCCCAACGGCCCTGAGGGGGTGTTTTTCTCTCAGTGCTTGGGTTGTGGTTTCATCCCTGGGCAAAATTTTGTCCTCACTTGTGATCAACCTGAGTGCCCCGATTGTATTGCCCTCTTCAATTTTCTTGCCGACTTGGGTACCTAATTTTCTGTTGTCACTGATTGTCGTACTTGGTCTGCCTCGGCGGTGTTTGGTGTGTTTGGGGAGGCGGACTAGGTTGTCAGCCCTAAGAAAATCCCTAATTGCTTTATTGACGGATGAGGCCAGTGTCTTGCCTCCTCTGTCTGGTACACCTAAGCATGCATTGCCAAAAAGTAACAGATTGTGCCAGGCTTTGATGGTATCAGGTGTATCAAGGTTATTTGACCCTCTGTTGACTTTTCCGTTGAGGTCCATGTATTTCCCGGCAGCAAATGGGCAAGAGGTCTTTGGGATGTGGGTGAGTGTCCTGGTTGACGTTGCTTTAATTGCCTCTAGCAGGTCGTCTGTTGCAATGTAATCTGTTGCGATTTGTACTGGTGCAACAGGCTCCTGAGTGCTGCCTCCTCCCACGGGAGGCCTCCCTGACCCAGGACAGTCACCATGTTGGCGTATGACTCTGGAGACCGAGTTGATGCTGATGTTGCTCCCACAAACACTGCAGGTGCCTCTCCTTTGATTGGCTTCGGGAGGGGTGAGCTGGCTGGCAGCGGCCTCTTCTGCCATCCCCTTAGGTGAAGTGACTGTCACCTTACACTGGAGTATTTGTCTCTCCCTCCTGGCTGGGGGGGGACGAGGTTGTCCTCTATACCATGCGTCATGTCTAGCCAGATGTCTGGGTTGGGTGGGCTCGTGGAGTCAATCTATCGATTGACTGTTACCATGGTCTAATATATACTGTATACACATCAGCTCAGTATAGCTCTGGGGAGTCAAAAGGGTTCTCCACAGAAAAGAATATCATCCTAAATTCCTCCCTTGGAGATTCCATGAAATTCTAATCTATTGCCATCACTTTAATGCATTCATAGTTTTCTCTTTAGAATGAAAGAGATGTCTCATAATTTACAGTAAAGAGCACCCTTGTACATCAGTTGCCTAATGTGGACATGAAGATCAGCTAAGCAACACACAGTATGGCTGAAAATGTACAACCAATAAACTGAAGGGTGCAATAATCACAGACATCATGGTGATAACAAAGTTTTAAGTCTTTTGAAATACTCAATATTAGAAACACTGTTGATACCACAAAAAACTTTAAAGAGAGAACTTGACAATATCTTCCGGTGCTTGCATAGCCAGGTTGAGATGATTATGCTTGCCGGCAGGCAGCAAGTAAAAACCACTTTACTTGAATAAGTAAATTGGAAGCCTGTTCTCATATCAGGCTTTAAGAATGACAACATGTCAGAATGATATATGGTTAATGTAAGTAAAAAATTAAACAAATTGTCATGAATACCAACCTTTCATATTCCTGGTCACTAATACAGCTAAGATATTAAGCAATAATATTGTCTAAGTTTGACAAGCGTGTCTGTGAAAAATATCTTAACGTTTTATGATAAAGTACCAGAAATGTACCCATCACTTTGTTTATGAAATTCACATCTTCACTCACTTTCAAGATACTATACTAGGTATTTTATACATTAATATCCAAAACAAATATTAACTGACCTTAGGCTCTCCATTGGCAATATAGTTGTAGTAGTTAGTAAGACCAGTTACATTGGTGAAGTATGATGGCTGACCCGATTTGTCTCCATTCAAAAGATCATCAAATACCTGCAAGTGATAAAAATTAATGGGCACATTATATATATATATATATATATATATATATATATATATATATATATATATATATATATATATATATATATATATATATATATATATATGTATATATGTCGTACCTAGTAGCCAGAACGCACTTATCAGCCTACTATGCAAGGCCAGATTTGCCTAATAAGCCAAGTTTTCATGAACTAATGTTTTTTCGACTACCTAACCTACCTAACCTAACCTAACCTAACTTTTTCGGCTACCTAACCCAACCTAACCTATAAAGATAGGTTAGGTTAGGTTAGGTAGGGTTGGTTAGGTTTGGTCATATATCTATGTTAATTTTAACTCCAATAAATTTTTTTTTACCTCATACATAATGAAATGGGCAGCTTTATCATTTCATAAGAAAAAAATTAGAGAAAATATATTAATTCAGGAAAACTTGGCTTATTAGGCAAATCGGGCCTTGCATAGTAGGCTGAGAAGTACGTTCTGGCTACTAGGTACGACATATATATATATAATATATATATATATATATATATATATATATATATATATATATATATATATATATATATATATATATATATATATATATATATATATATATATATATATATATATATATATATATATGGGGTGTGAGTTTTCAGTTGCATATTGTCCTGGGGACCATTCAGGCTTGTTCGCACATATATATATATATATATATATATATATATATATATATATATATATATATATATATATATATATATATATATATATATATATATATATATATATACACACACACACACACACACATAAAATGAATTAATTCTTTACTTTAGCCAATTAAATCCGTACGCCTCCTGTTTTATTATAAAGAGTAGCAGCAAAAAATTACCAACTAAAGCTAAATTATGATAGTAACCTATATGGACTAATACAAAGATACCTGCTTGATGGGGTTTTGGGAGTTCTTCTACTCCCAAGTCCGGCCCGAGGCCAGGCTTGACTTGTTTGAGTTTGGTCCACCAGGCTGTTGCTTGGAGCGGCCCGCAGGCCCACATACCCACCACAGCCTGGTTGGTCTGGCACTCCTTGAAGAAAACTATCTAGTTTTCTCTTGAAGATGTCCACGGTTGTTCCGGCAATATTTCTTATACTCGCTGGGAGGATGTTGAATAACCATGGACCTCTGATGTTTATACAATGTTCTCTGATTGTGCTGTGATATGAGATCATAGATTCTAGAAACTTTCAGTCACCTTAATCCAAATTACTGGATTACCTTTCAATTACCTTTCGACCAAGCCTCCTATTTGGTAGTCTGGTCAACCAGGCTGTTCAACACTGCTGCTCACAGCCTGATTGACCAGATATCCTTCAATGTATTTATCAAGTTCCAATTTTAATACTGCGAGAGGTTGGAGACTTATACCCTTTTTTAACACCGGGTGTTGCCACAAATATATTTTCAATTATTTGTTTTATGTATTTCCAATGCAGTTTTATTTGTTTTTTTATCGTATATGATGCATATTTGTGTCCTTTACAATATGTATACAGTAGAATGTTCATATTGTTCCGTGGAACTGTGATACATGTGTCAGTAATGTGTCCACAATAAATGTTAATTGTCTCAATATTACCTGTTAAAAATTCACTAAAATTACAATATGTACAGTTTCACACACTATTTACACAGTAACACACTGTATTACACACTCAGTACTTCGGAAGTGAGTAATAATCAACGAAGTAGTCCATGGTGCACAGCGCAACTTCGCTCTCAGTGTACCAGGTACAGATAAATTTTCGCTTCCTATTTCATCATTCTGTGTGCTTGCAAATAGAGCACTCACATACACCCTTGGCTTTAGTACTTGTAGGTTGTATGTAGCCAAGCTTGTAAAGCATAAGGTAGTATTGAAAAGATTATAGGAAAAGATCAAATTGTAAGGTAGTCTTGAAAAGATCGCTTTGTATGGTCCCACACAGGAAAAAATTCAGCTAGCCTCAAGAGTGTCCGTCAGTCAGGAAGAGATTCAGCTAGCCTCAAAGAGTGTCCGTCAGTTAGGCAGAGATTCAGGTATTCTTGAAAATATCTATGGAAAACACCACCATGGAAGCCGCTAACACTGTTCATCTATGCTACTTGTATCAGATGCATCATCACTGAACACAGAAAACGATTCATCTATGTATCATTTAAATAAATTGGAGATAGCATAGGATTGCAAGGGTGACGTGCAGAGCTACAACTGGATACGCTCGCTGTATTGTCCTCATATGTGCTGTATCACTTGCATCCGACCTTTGTGTTAGGTCCTTATTGCACCTTGCTTCACCAATATTATGACCCTTATGTTCTTCAAACAATAAGGTTTAAATTTCACCGACAGAGCATTATCTTTCAACACTGCGTCGAACAGGTGTTTGGGAGCCAGAAGCGCGTGCACCACTCATGGTTGCTCATTCAGTACTAACTCAGCCAGCAGCCCTAGGGCATTCTGGGATTTTTTTCAAAGTTGGCTGCCTCTCACTGGAGGTCCTAAGAGACCATTTCGTACACAACCAACCTCGTACACATTTAGAATTGGTACCAAAAAATAAAAAAAGAGTTTTCTCGGTTGACGCAGTTTCCCACCGACCGAGAATACTCGGTTGGTGCAGTTAAGTGGTTAATCGACTGAACTACAACATGGAAAAAAAAAAAAAAGAGTTGAAATGTAATGTGTGTTATACCCTTTTTAATACTGCAAGAGGTTGGAGACTTATACCCTTTATTATACTGCGAGAAGGTAAAGACTTACACCCTTTTTAACACTATCGCCCTCAGACTTTGACTTCATGGGGCTAATGGTGCGGGCAAGTGTGCGGCGATGCCTAAATGTGTATACTTGTTTCAGTTTTCACACCTTAATTCTTGTGCTACGTCGTTCGTTTTGGTATCATTGTGTTCGCAATTAAATTCCCTACAGATGTATATGCATATGATGTCCAAAAGCCTGGTGAGACTCCCTACAGCAAAGCCTAAAGTCGGCAAAGTTACCTGTGAGTGCACAAAATCAGTAAAATATGTGTACTCGTTTCAGTTTTCTCACCTTAATTCTCGAGCCATGTTGTTCCTTTTTGTATCATTGTGTTAGCAATTAAATTCCCTGCAATTAAATATTCATATAATGTCCAAAAGCCTGGCAAGACTCCCCCGCAGCAAAGCCTAAAATTACCCGTGAACGAGCACCAATATGCACACCACAACCTAATGTGTATACTCGTTCAGTTTGATAAAATCAATTTTCATGTTACAGCGCTCGTTTTGGTATCAAATTGTTTGCAATATAAAGGCGCACATTTTAGTACTAGTCTCATAATAATAGAGCAATAACTGGAATTTTAAGAAATATTTTAATTTTGGACGCTCATCATCAAAATTATTTATATCTTTCCAGTGTTCTGACATCAATTTTCATGTTACATCGCTCATTTTGGTATCAAATTGTTCGCGCGCATTTTAAAACTAGTCTCATAATAATAGCACAATCAATAGAATTTTAACAAATATTTTAAAATTTAAAATTTAGACCCAAAAACGTATTTATAATCTTTCAAGTGGGCTAACATCAAGTTTCGTGTTACATCTTTCATTTTGGTATCAAATTGTGCGCATTCTAAAGGCGCTTATTTTGAAACTATCCTGAAGTTGTTCGGATAAAAAATGAATTTTATACAAATATTTTTGTGGTGGACACGAGTCCTGTCCACGGCTAGGACTCAAGAGAAAAAAAATGGACATGATCGGTGTCCAAAGCAAGTGATATTGTTAATACTGCCAGAGGTTGGAGACTTATACCTTTACTGGGAGGAGCCCTGTCAGCTCCCCGGAGCTATCCAGGCTGAATGGATATGTATAACTGTCTTTCATCATTCAATGTGCATGGAGTTCTTGCCTACGTTCTTGCCCAGGTTCTGACCACGAGCCAGAACCTGGCCCCTCAGAGAGGTGTGAGGAGCAATGGCGTATAGAAACCCCAATGTGGATGGGAGCAAACTGTACCCAAATGGATCCATGAGTGTTGTCGGGGGTTGATCAGTCAGGGAGTTTAGTTAATAAGCACCAGGACTGACCAGTCCTTATAGACGATCATTGGTGCTCCCCTCCATCCCTCCTTCCGTCCCCTCTATCCCTCCCTCCATCCATCCATCCTGCCCTTCATCCTTCATTCCCTTCATGTGGCGCCCTTACCCGCCTGCGAGGCGTTCACTGTAGATGCCTTTCGGCAGGACTGGTCAAGGTGGGGGTACCTGTTCCTCTTCTCCTGGTTCAGCTGTTGCTTCGAGTTCTGGCTCGGTTGGAGTCCATTACCAAGAAGAGTAGTCCTCATGGTCCCTTGGTGGCTGGCTCAGCTTTATTTCCAGACGCTGCTTGATAGGTGTCCAAACCCAGGGTGTTTTCCCACGGCTCCGCCTCTTTTGGCAGGTTGGACCGGTCCAGTACGTGGCTGGTTCGGCCTTCTCCTCGGCTCTTCGGGTCTGGTATTTTGACGCGGGTATCACCATCTCTGTGGTGATCAGGTGGCATCGTTGATGGTGTTCCACCTGCGAGCTTTGTCTCGGCAACAGTACAACGTTCCTGGTGTTTCTATGCACCTTTTTCTTGCTCTTGGTTGGTTGTCTTCTCTTTTGCATCGGGTTATCTTGTCTTGTCTTGGGTTTTCAGAACTACAGTTATTTGATGTTTCTTACTGTCGCCTCATTTTGTGCGGTGCTGGCAGAGCCGCTCCGGCTTGTGTTCAGGGTGGACTTCACATTTGCCCCGTTCCGTACGCTTTCTCGTGTTTTGTTTCACCTCTGGCCTGCTCGTGCGTCACCTGAGCTGTCCTGGTCCTTGATCAGGGTGCCCTCTTACCTTCTTCTCCTCAGTTTGTGGTAGCCCCTTCGGTTCAAGTTTGGTTTTCATAGGCCATATTTTGTTGGCATGGGCCTCTGTGGGTCGAGTCAGGGAG